GTAATGACTGTGAGTTAGGTCAACTACATAGGTCAAACTAGTAGGTCGGGGTTAGTCAGATTATCAGAACATAAGAACTTGGCTAAGGTAGGAATGGTTGACCCCACCCGAGAAGATAAGTAATTTAGAAAAAAGCTCAGCAATTATACTTCACGCATTAACAAACAACCACACAATAGGGCGGGATAGTGTTAAAATTCTAAAGAGTAACATAGGTGGAGAGAAAGGCTGATTACTGAATCCTGGTTCATCGAGTCTACACCCAACACATGCAACACAAATGACTCAATGCAAATACCAGAGATATGCATGGAAGATATTATTACCACCGGTCAAATCAGAAGAGAATAATGAATAATCTTAATATTCTATTTCAATTCAAACACATCACAACATTCTAAGAAGTAACTTATTATGACTACAAAAACACTCGTCTTATTTCCTATCTGATTGTAATTGATCAATAACACTCATATTATTATTATTTCTGAATGTACATTATCCCATATTACTGATTTGTATTCAAATGTCTAATCATCAATTCCACTCATGTATATAAATGAAGGAAAAAAGTTGTGTGAGTAACTTGATATGATTATGAGCATTAGTTTATGCTCGAAACGTCATCAGTTAATATAACTGTACAACACTGTTTGACAGTTTATCAAAATAAAATCTTATCCATAATAGAGTTATGCTCTATCACAGTGCCTAAGTTTTATACTTATATCGTCGAATGATATCGTGCGTTATGTTGGCCGTCGCTCGAGTGGAGGAGTCCCAACGCGACGTGACGAGTGGGTCGTCGGTGAGACGGTGACATGGAGGAGATCGTGTGAGTTGGAGGAGGAGGAGATGAGAGATTATGGGCAATCGTGGACCCAGCCGAACAGGACACCAGAAAACAGAACAAAGTGGAAATGATTTTGATTGAAGTACTTACTATGTTTCACTCGGAACCCAAGGAAATAAGGAAATAATTTTTCATACATTTTATTTTATTATTAAGAACTAACCATGATTGCTGTAAAGCGATTGTAGGGAGAAACTAAGAAACGATATCACCTCGAGATGTATATATGTCTTTTTAATGCATGATATAAATTTATCAAAAGAGACTAACTAGGTGCTTAAAGAGATTAACTAGGTGCTTAAATGTGCGTCGGTGGCATAGCGGTTAGCACGCTCGCCGACCATGCACATGGTCCGGGGTTCGATCCCCGGCCGACGCACTCCTTTACCTCGCTAAACCAGAAAACATGCTGGTGAAGAGGAAAGGTTGGGCATGGGGCTAGCAACCCCATCCTGTAAAAATAAACACTGCTACAGAAACTTCAAGCCACTAGCTTGAAGCCCTATGTTCCACTGGGGAACGTGAAAGAAAAAAAAGGTGCTTAAATTCATTACATAAATAATCTTGGGAAGATCATCGTATGGTACTGGTTTATTGGCAAGGTTAAATTTTATGCACAATATTGTCAAAAATTTTCCTTGTAATCATTCCATATTAGTTTGTTTATTAGATGTATCACACAGTCACACAGTGAGTGAAACAGTATTAGTATTTACTGGATGACAAAGTTTCGAACAAAATTCATTATTGCTGTTCATAATTGTATCTTCAACCTCGAAAACCTTACGCAGAATTCTTAACAAGGCAGGCAGGAATAAAAGTGGCACTACATGCAGTTACACACAATCATATAATAGGCTGGATGGGATAGGATAAGGTGACAGTTTTAAAATCTAATGCCACAGGGTGGTTGGAGCGAGGGAGAGAGCTTTGTTTATCGAATCAACTGAGAGAGAGAATACGTGTAATAGGAATGATTCAACACCTGTCCACCCAGATATCTGGAAAATTCTACTACCCCAATGACGACGACAAATACTGGAGGACAAAGAAAATTTAGAAAACTCAAGTTTCGAAGTCGTGTGATTACAATCAATGAAATGATTATGAACAATAAACTTTGTTCGAAACGTCAACCAGTGAATAATACTGTTTCACTGTGGGATACATCTAATAAACAAACTAATATGGAATTACTTACTACCACAGTGCCCCAGTTTTACACATATATTACTATTTTTTCTATAGTTTAATTTGTCAGGGTTAGTTATGTTTTTACGAGTTGATCACGGACTGATATCAGTTAGAGAACCATTGAAAACCAGGGAGTACTGGACAGCCGTTTCATCCTAGTTTGGGAATCATCGGCAGTACGCACCCACTGGGATTCGAACCCAGGACCTTCCGGTTACAAGGCAAGCTCGTATACCATTCAGCCACTGGGACCCGATTCAATGGCTTATGAATTCTAACTTCTACCAATTCGTGATTTAGCGCGACCCCAACCATTGTCGTTGGTGGGACATCCATCCACACACGTGACATCTCGATGGACCTGACTGGTCACGACTTCTCACTAGAAGCGTGACTTTCGACATCATAGGAGCTCAGGATTATTCGATACCACTGGGGCGGTAATAGGATATTTGTTTGAAAAACTGACTTTACGAAGGGATAACCAAATGGTTACTTATTATGACTGATGGTCAGCAATTAAATAAGTAAATCAAATTAATTAATTAATTAAACGGTTTTTGCTTGATGCACAGGTGGCTCAAAAATAATGTATATAATTTAACTAACTACATATTTACGCAAATAACTCAAAAATAAGGTAACAGTATTCTGCTTGTCCTTCTCAAAGTAAGTCCACCTCATCTTAAATAAAGCTTTATTTAGTCAGAAACGGATAGCCTAGAGCAGAGACTTGCTTTAAAGGCAGTAAGTGTTGGAATACATTATGACGTCACTATGTGCAGCTTTCAAGAAATATACGGTGACTACTATCCAAGGTATTTACCTAATTGAAAGTCCTTCATTTTCAGTACTTCGAGTGCTCCTATATTCCATTCATCTCCTATTGGCCGGTAGGAATAATTGTCACAATTTTTATTCGTGCTTTAGATTGCCGTCTAACGAAGATGCCACTGAATCCACAAATAAGAAAATACTCGGTAATTACTTAAAAGCAACTATTCGCTTAAAGATGCTGTAATGGAACTTATCAATTTGTCTACAAAAATCCTGAACATTGTTACAAGTAACCACAAATCTCGACTGCAAACCAACCTTCCAGCAAACGATGACTTTATACTGGAGTTTCCGATCGAGAATGAAGACCACTTATAGATGCTGGAAGCATCTTTAAGATACGAAAAGTACAAGCAGCAATATGTGAGTTGACATATTTAATTCTTATTTCCTGTAGACTGCTAAGATGGTTAGCTGCCTTCAGAGTGATCCAAAGTTATCCATTAAAGTCATGATACACCATGTTCTAAAACCTGAAGTGGCTTTGAAGTTTACATTTCTGGGGACTTTGACAAATTCTAGCATTGTGCCTTATGCCTTTTATAAAATAATGAGATGTAAGGTTGATTAATGAAGTACTTAGTTCTGTAGATGTAATTATGGTGCAATTCTCCGATCAACTAATGACGTCGAGAGAGGTTGGTGACACAATGGATAAGGCCACGAAATCGTACTTTCATAATTTGAAAGACAGTGTCCAAAGGCGTAAGCTGACGAAAGGAATTCAGGTAATATTGCGAAACGCCTGTTTACTTTTATAAGTCAACGTTTATTGAACATGTAGTAATCACAACATTGTTTCTATTTCTAGGCAAATGAAAAAGATACCAGGGGATATAACAGTGGCAGTTATGTCAGTAAACTTTTATTAATGTAAATGCTGAAAATGTGATGAGCACAATTTTTCATCAACTAATATTCTGTTTTGCTTATTTACAGGATGCTACCAGTGGACCTAACTTGACGGATTTGCAGTGACTTTGTACAACAGTTTATAAAATACGAAAGTCTCTCAATTATAAAAACTGATTTCTTTCTGGTCGGTCGGTTTTCGACATAGAACTTTGCACATATGTGCGGCAGTTCAATTCGCCACACTCCCTCCACTCCATGTAGCACACAAAGCAAGAGAAGAAAGTAGAAGAAATGCATAATATAGACAGTAAACAGAGGTGTGAGACAAAGGAATAGTAGTAACGAAGAACAAAACAGTTTAATTGGAAATCATACGTCACAAGGAGTGGATGCATCTGCGCCACTGAGAACGATTTTGAGCCATGTCACCAATTGTTTCCAACCATTGGCTTTTACCGTCCCGAGGACCCCAACCAGTCAGGAAGCCAGTCTACACCTTCCTACGTGGCTTAGACTAACTGTTGTGGATTTCATTGACTGGTGAGGCCATGTTTTGGTTTGACCGCCGCTAGCTCTTTTCCAGCCTGGCCCTATATCAGCTAAGATTGCCCGTCGAGGAAGGCTATGACTAGTCATGCATGCGTAGCACATGTCCTAACCATCTCAGTCGAAGTAGTTTCACCGTTTCGTCGATTGATTTCCCCGCCTTACCTAGCACTCGACGCCTAACCTCAATATTGCTCACCGAAGTGCACGCGAAACCTGATTTCTTTCTGAGTTGTGCCGGCGTAGGACGCAGGTGATGATAATAAGTAACAGTCTTTTCGTTCTGAAGTAATGCTATTCAGTGCTGAAAATGATCTGAAAGAGCTGAAATAAAGCTGATAAGCTAACCCAGTAGGTTCTGATCTACTCCTGAAAATGCCTAGGAAAAGAACACGGTGCTGAATTAGTGCTAGTTATGCTGAAAACCAGCACTGAGTTCTAGTCTGTGCCATTAAACAATGCATTCCAAAACAGATTCAGAATTTACTCACTATAGGATGCTAAAACTATTTCAGAATTAATGAGATTTAATTCAGCATTATTGTAACCTTGGGTAAAGTAGGATTAAACATTCCGAAATCTATTTCGTTCCCTATATTTTATTTTCAGACTGGTGTATACACTCAATAACCATGGAAACCAGACATTAAAATTACACTGTTAACTAGTAAGAAATGGCAGAAAAACAAAATGTTACCACCGACAACCGACTTACAAGTTTCTACACCAGCTGTTAGTGTTTCATGTGCCACTTGAATAGTTTCAACATTATCTAGTTCTTTTGAGGTATCATTGTGACGACTATTAATTCCATGCAAGGATGACGTATTGTCCAGATTTAAGACTTCGTCGGATATATCGAGAACTTCATCAATTTTTTGCTGTGCACTTTTTAGAGCAGTAATTGCCAACTTAGATATATTACCCGCCTTCTCTAAAGAACCCCACCAAGTCATTATCAAACCTCCTCAGCCGGTTTTTAACCCTGAAGGTCACACTGCATTCGAAAACGACACATGTGATTTCAATAACAAATATTTGTAAATTTGGTGAAATTTTGCATCTCCAGATCTTATATGATCGCGATTGAAAGTTAGACGGCATACAGTTATATTGAAATGTTTTAAACCAGTGTTATTCCCGGCATTTTCAGTTGACTAATTAGGAAATAACTAAGATTAAGGAACATTAGATGAATCGACTTTTGAATTCCTAATCCCTGAATATGGGAAACTAGGAGTCCTGATACATCCTGTTTAATCTGATACCACCACAAAAGATCTGCTCCCTCATCCATACAGAAAATCCAACCCTTCTATGAATGCGCTTCGAAAAATAGGGGCATTTTTGCGTTGTGAAGTAACTTCAGCTTTTGTTGTGTACATCGTGTCAAAAGCTACTTTGGTTTACTTTAACTGGTCTAATTAGTTGAAGTATTGTTTTTTGTGCACTTTTGTGACTTTTCGTGTGGTTTTCATATCTCTGTGTTTAGGTATATATACACACATTTGTCTGTATAATATAAACAACTTATATGACAACATGAGTCTCACTAATAGCTGTGGACGACCGGACTGCCACTTTACAGTGGATGATGGGATGCAGTGTGAAAAGTGCAACCTATGGCTTCACAAAGTTTGCACTGGCTTGTCACCATAAGCTTATAGAAGATTCAGCAAGCCATCGTCTCCGTGGGTGTGCGAATTTTGTAGCAGCCCGATGGACGTCCTCATCCAAGAGGCCGTAAGACTTCTTATGTCCGAAACATTGACAAAAACCTCAGATGAGGGGAAAACACCAGCATCTGGAACCGATACCATGAATGACGATTCTGGACTGAGTCGTAACACTGACACAGAACCAAATCTCGAAGCTTTGAAAGACACAACAGAAGTACGGTATGCTCAAAAGGCTTTAACAGCACGCGAAAATTCCCCAAAATCTAAGAGGGCAAGCAGTGTCAACATTGTAACACCGCCACAGCGACGAGTCGCTGAATGTCTGGTGAACACATAGCTTCTGGATACGGCGAGAGCAAAGTGGAAGTAACTAATTCCACTTGGTCAGTGGCAACAAATAGGAAGCTAAAGACGTATAAGGAAAAGAAAAAGGATGGGCTTAGTGATAAGGTCTCGACGGCTCTAAATGCGAATAAGACCGCGAAACCTCCGGACTCAAATTACAGTATCGTAATTTGGAACTTGGAGGAATCAAATACAATAGATCCATCTGCCCAACATGCTGGAGATCCCGAGGTAGTTAGCCCCATCATTCGTGAAGTGCTTCCTGAAAAAGCAAATGGAGTTCATATAATAAAACTCGTCAGAATCAGGTAAAGGAAATGCCGATGCAACAGAAAGTTCCCCACGACTGCTGAAGAAGGTACTGCGAAAGGAGATGGAGAAAAGTAGTAATCTCAGCAACCCAGTCAAGTTCAAGTACAAAAAGATGAGAATAAAGCCAAACTGCCCACTGGAGAACAGAAACAAGAGAAGAGAAGCCGTGCGTGAATATGTAACAACAGAAGACAAGGGCCAGACAACAGATCATTTATTAAGGAAATCAAAGCATATTTATATATTTTCATGTACATTACTATGGATATTTAAGCAAAAAACACAGTCTTCCGATTGGTTGTTTCTCACGTAAAGTTAATCTTTCATCTACTTGTGACTGTTTCTTGAATGTCAAATCCTCTATATGTTAACTGCATCCGCCTACGCAAAGTCAATCTTTGTTCACATTTTCTCACGACAACTCTTGGGAACGTAAATATTGACGTAAATTACTGTCTACCAATTTGGCTAGTAGATAGCTCTCACCACACTCGTTCCCCCGTCAAATAGCTTCGGGCGCAGTCGTTCCGACCTTCTGGGTGATGCATCCTTTAGTTGATAATTGTTACAGACCGGCTTGTCCCAATGCACCCATCGTTGTATCTGACTGGCGTTAACTCGTTTTTGTTTGTCACCTCTTCTGATGGTATATACTTGACCCCGTCTTTTTGTGACTGTGTATGGTCCTTCCCACTTTGGAAGGAGTTTGCGTGAACCTGGCCCGCATCCGACAGCATATCTTCTGTCTCTACACTTCACTTGGTCCCCGACTGCAAAGGTGATGCACTGAGTCTTTTCTCTCAGCTGAGACCTCGCGACATCCCTCCGCTGCTTCTGCATTACATTCTTGACGGGTTCTTTCCGTTCTGCTTTTAATTTCGTCGTACTCCACTTTTGGTGAAGGGGCTAGGTTTCGTTGTGTATCGGTAATCGTGGTTTTCTACCATACATCAGTTGAAAGGGTGACTTTTTCGTTGTTTCCTGGGTGGTGGCACGATGTGTTAGTAGAATCAGTGGCAGCTCCGTTTCCGAGTTACCGCCCTTTGAGGCCAGCCACTCCTTCAGCGTACGGTTGTTTCTCTCCGTCAGGCCATTCGTTTGTGGATGGTATGGGGTCGTTCGGATCCTCTTGATGCCAAGCTGTTGCAAACGGGAAGTAAGTTCTTCACTTTCGAAACACGGACCTTGGTCTGTCAGTATTGTCTTTGGTACGCCATGGTCTGCAATGATGTGTCTAACTACTGCATCTGTCACGGTCCTTGCGCGTTGGTCTGGGATTGCTACGGCGTCTTCCCATCGTGTCGCGTGTTCCGTCATCACCAAGAGGTACTGATTACCATTGAATGTCTGAGGAAATGGACCCATAACATCTACCAACCACAAGTCACCTATCGCCGTAACTGGAATCGACTGAAGTGGTGGTCGTATGCACCGGTCGCCTTTCATTAGCTGGCACCGTGGACATCCAAGTACATATCTTGCTACGTCTTCTCTCATACCTGGCCAGCACATACTTTGTCTCAAGAGGTCGATTGTTCTGGCCACTCTGGTATGTGCTAGCTGGTGGCATTCTTCTATCCATTCGTGGCGCGACGACTGAGGTATGACAGCTAGCCAGCTTCCGTCGTCCTCTCGCCAGATCAGAGTCCCGTAGACATTCACTCTTAGTCGATCTCTCTGTTGGAGTAGTGTGGTTAGCTCCTTACTCGCTGTAGCTGGATCCACTTCTATTCCGTTAGTGATCACCTGTATTACTGTATTCAGCGTATCGTCCAACCTTTGTCTGCGTACCAGTCTTAGTGGGTCTTGTTCTACTGCATGCACTCCGTAAGCGACCTCGGGCAACTCAGACTCGTCTTCTGGTCTCGATAACAAATCTGCCAAGACATTTTCATTTCCAGGAACGTGTGAGATGGTAAAATCGTACTCCTGAGGACGCAACATCCACCGTGACAATTTCCTTCGTGGGTCTCTCGCTGTCTTCAGAAACTGTAGCGGCTTATGATCCGTTTCGGTGTGGAACCGTCGGCCGAGTAAATAAGGTCTCCATTTGTCGATTGCCCATACCATCGCTAAACATTCTTTCTCTATCGTTGAATACTTTCGCTCTGTGTGTGTCAAAACCCGACTGGCATACTCAACGATTCCCTCACCCTGTCTTAGGACCGCACCTACGGCGTAGTCACTGGCATATGTGCACACTGTGAACTGTCTTCCAGGTACAGGTAGCTTAAGTGTCATTTGTTGGTGGTCGAGCAGCTGTTTAATCCTGTTGAATGTCTTCTGCGATTCCTCCGACCAAACAAACTTCGGTTCACCTAGTAGCCTGTACAGAGGGGCTGCTATCTAATAGAAGTTCTTCATGAAGCGACTATAATAATAATAATAATAATGTATTTCATATAAATTTACAAATTTACATGAAAATGCATGCCATTTTTACAGGCACGATCAAGTATGATATAATATCAAATCGTAGATTGTCTACAAGTTAATCGTATTTCAACTGTTAAATATTCGATACATATAATACACTCATTTTCTGAATTAGGCCGTATAGTTATTGAATTGTACAGTTGTCCTCCAGGTTGAGCGGGAAAATCGACTTCGTTCCGTTTTCATCCCGTGGTTGTAGGCATACGATAACCAACCGATATTGAGGTAAGTACACCTTTTACAAGGGATTGGAATCTGTTTTAGAAAAATTAAAGTGCTGAGGTGAATCATTAAATTGTAATGAAATAGGTAAGTGCAAGTATCATTAATAAATGCATTAATAAAGGAAACACCCTAGGGTAACAACATTCATTTGCAATGTATAATGCTACAGATATATCACAAACTATCATGATATCCACTTTTGGTTTTAATACAATTATCCTCATGCCAGTTGTTTTTATTTTATACCTTTTTGTGCATTTAGTGCACTACCGTACCCTTCAGAGAGTAGGAGTATAATAAGTAATGAAGAGCTATAAGATGTTAAGTTTAATGGAGTAAAATGAGGATCAAGTAAAGACGTTGTCAGAAAATAAATGAGATAAGACATTGTGGAGTGGTATGAAAAGATCTGACGATAGACAGCAAGTTAATTTATAAGATGCCCCATAAATCTGAGCAGATCCCACATGGTCGCATCTCAACAATAGGCTGGGTGAATGGTATATATTTAAAACGCTGCTCTACCTAAGAATTGTCGCAATTTTCTCTTTGAATTCGGGGCCGGGATCGTCTTTATCGTCAAGATTTTCTCCGGTAGTGGTTTAATCTCACCATTTCCCACTTTATGTCCCAAAAGAGTTACATTCTTTTTGGCTATCTGAGACTTGGTTTTGTTGACGCGCAGTCCAAACTCTTCGATGCATCGCAGCATGGCTTCCACATGGTTCACATGATCGTTTTCGTTTTGACTATATATGACGAGATCATCACCGTACACCTCAACGTTTTTCAAGTTCTTAAGTAATAGCGTCATCAGTCGTCTGAACGTGAACCTGCTAGTCCAAACGGCATGCCTTTAAATCGATATTGTGTCTGACCCACGATGAATGCCGTCTTATTTCTATCACCTGGCTTTATCGGTATCTGCCAGTATCCTGAGCGAAGATCGAGAACTGAAAACAAATTTGCGCCTTGTAGGCGATCTAAAGTTTCTACTACTGTTGGCATGGCAC